GTACTCCAAGGGTGCAATGTCTAATATGGTAGCTAGTAACAGATAAAACCTCTCTTTACCTACCAAGAAATCCTCAGACCAGTAGCCATCCCAAGGCCTAAGGCACTCTAAGGGTGCAATGTCTAATATGGTAGCTAGTACCTAGATGTAGTTACTTTACTTAACCAAAATTATTTAAAATTTAGTTCCTCAGTTACCCAAATTTCAAGTACTGAAAAGTCATGTGTATCTAGTTACTACTGTATCTGATACCATTAGTTGAGACAGATTGAAACAGTATCACTGTAGAATATTCTATCAATACTATTCTAGTATTTAAATATATGATGGCTACTTCATGAAAGACTTATGAGAGTTGAACTTCAAGATTATAAAACTAAGAAAATAAAAAGCAAAGTTTGCCGGGCACCGGTGGCTCACACCTGTAATCCTAGCTGCTCAGGAGGCTGAGCAGGTGGTTCAAAGCCAGCCTGGGCTGGCAGGAAAGTCCGTGAGACTCTTATCCAATAAACCACCAGAAAACCAGAAGTGGTGCTGTAGCTCAAGTGGTAGAGTGCTAGCCTTGAGCTGAAGAGCTGAGAGACAGCACCCAGGCCCAGAGTTCAAGCCCCATGACTAACAAAAAACAACAACAAAACAAAGTTTTTCTGTTCACTTATTTGTTTTCTTCTTTTTCTTTTTGTGCCAGTCCTAGTGCTTGAACTCAGGGCCTGGGCACTGTCCCTGAGCTTCTTCTGCTCAAGAATAGCACTCTACCACTTGAGCCACAGTGCCGCTCCCAGCTTCTTGTTTATGTGGTGCTGAGGAATGGAGCCCAGAGCTTCATGCATGCAAGATAACACTCTACCACTAAGTCACATTCCCAGCCCTCTGTTCATTTATTAAGTAAATTTTTATTTTTTTGTGGTCGTGAGACCTGGGCACTGTCCCTCAGCTCTTCAGCTCAAGGCTAGCCCCTCTACCGCTTGAGCCACAGCACCACTTCTGGCTTTTTCTGCTTATGTGGTGCTGAGGAATCGAGCCCAGAGCTTCATGCATGCAAGGCAAGCACTCTACCACTAAGCCACCTTCCCAGCCCTCTGTTCATTTAAGTAAAGTTTTTTACTAGAGGAACTAGAGAGGATCAAAAAACACTTTATGCCTTTGAGAAGCATTTGGTCCTACAGAGGGCAGTGGAAGTACACATAAACAACAACTTCATTCAAAGCTAAATTCAGTGTTAGAGGAAAGATACAAAAAAAGTGATGATTAGAGGTGACTTTACAAAGGCAGTCATGTTTAGTCTGGGCCTCAGATGATAAGCATGTGTTCCACAGGCTTACAAGAAAAGTACAATCAAGATAGAAAAACAACGGGAACAAAGACAAAAGGGCATGAAGTTGAGTTCAGTGTTGTTTGGTAATGGTTTAAGCTATTATGGATGAATCAAGACTCCTGAAGTATGAGACAAGCGTGTGAGTATGTTAGCTCTCTGAAAGGAGAAGGGGAGGATAAGAACCAGGGGCCCAAGGCTTATGCCTGTAATAATAGCTAATTGAAAGACAGATCTGAAGATCACAGGAAGCCAACCGAGGCAGGGAAGTTTGTAAAATTCCAGTAATCTATCAAAAAGCCTGAAGTGGAGATGTGGCTCAAGTGGCAGAGCACTAGCCTTGAGAAAAAAAAAAAAAAACACAAAACCTCAGGGACAGGCCCTGAGTTCAAGCTCCGAAAAAAAAACAAAAAAAGCAAATGAGGAAGTCCTAACAAAAGGGAGCTACATTAGCTAAGCGGAACCAAAGGATGGACATGCAAAAGATCAGAGACAAAGCCCAATAGGACCAAAATAACATTAAATACTTATTAGAGGTGAATGAGCCAAGTTTCTGGCTTAGGTACAAAATACAGCTATACTTCTTGAAAAAGACCAAATTGAAAACCTGTGTTTAAAAAAAGATCACCTCTGTTAGCTCCTAGAACATACAACAATTAATAGCCATCTGTCCAGATGGCTATTAATGACAATGCATATTTTGTCCCTCCTCCCTGAGCCTGATGTCTATTTTCTTGTGCAGTAGACACAGGCAAAACACAGCAAGGGGGATAATAGGCATAATCTCTCAACTCAGAAGACTTACGAAGCACCAATGTAAAACTAGTATGTAACTAGCTCCGGTATTGGAGTGTGGCATCTATAGAACTCTTGGATCTTGGAACCATTAAACAGACGCTAGGAGATACTGGAGGACTTGGAAAACAGTTTATCCAGAAGCTATCTGGATATTGGATGTTCTGAGAGGAAAGGCTGTTTTTTTTTATGATAAAATCAAAACTTCCATCATTACCTGCACATTTGGTCTGTTTCTTTTAGTTGCACCTTCAAATGCCAAGTAAGACAAGGAAGCTGGCTCACTCCCTCCAACATCAACTTTGAATATATCTCCAGATTTCGCTGTCACTATGCCAATCACATGGTCCCCTTTCACTGGCACATACTACAAAAGAAAACAAGACAACAGTGATAAATGACAAGATGTCACTGGATGATATCTTCAGCCAGTCTTATCTATGTTTATGCTGGTCTCCAACTTCTGGGCTTAAAGACCAGTCTCGACCTTCCTCGCAGTAGCTGGGTCTACCAGAGAAAAGGAACCTTTGAAGTGCGGTGTGCAGAAGCTACACTCAGCTTCCAGCTCAAATAGTTCATTTGAGTCAGTGTCCCATACTTCATCCTTACCCAAGTCTCTTAACTTCTTTCCCACATGCATCCAAGTGGCAAGGTGATCCTCACAGCCAGGAATGCCTAGTCTGTTGTTTTCCTATGTGGAAGCTAACTATCCCATAAACAAATGTGTCTGCCTGTAATTTTCGTTATTTGAAACTGGTTCTGGCTTCTGAAACCCCAAAAGGCAAACTTAACTCTTTTGTGACACTGGGATTTTGAAGACTCCCATGACAGTCTATAGATGCCTTTTTCTCCGGGTCGTTCTTCTCGAGCTACATGACTACTGCTCAGGGGCCCTCTAAGGAAGGGGGGCAGAAGTGGGCACGGGACTACGGTGATTCTAAACTACTCTCCATGAAGGAGGCCCCGTGCCTGCTGGACCCCGCCTTAGGGTTGCACAGCCTCGCCAAAGCTCCAGCTCACCCGCTTCTGTTGCGAATCCACCCAGTAGACGCCGCCGCCGCCGCCACCGGGCTCCTTGTGACGGAGGCGCCCACATTTAGTGACCAGCAAGCGGTCCCCGCAGCGCCGCAGGCCCGGGCCGCAAACTACCCGCACTCGAGAGCGCGCCCCAGTGTTGAGGCGCAAGGGTCGCTCCCCAGTACCGCCGGGCCCTTCTGGGTCCTCCTGTTCCGGCAGCAGCAGCTCCTCGCCGGGGAGAACCACCTGCCCTAACACGGCACGCGCCGCCCGCACGCCGCGGTCCGCGGGAGACGCCGTAGACACCACTCCAGCCATCGCGGGCTCCACCAACCCCTCCCCCAGGACTTCCGCTTCCTGCGCCGTGTCCAATCGCCAGCCCAGCTGCAGCTCAGCTTTCCGGCAGCGGCGTTTGCTGGGACTTACTCTGAAGTCTCCGTAGTGCGATCGTCGTGAGCGGTTCGGGCGTTCTCGGTTCCTTCTCGCTTCCGGGTGCCCGGGGTTTCCGCCCCTTCACCTGTCCGTGGCTCAGTGTGAGAAATGCACGGCTTGAGTCGACTGAGAAGCCTCGCTTGCCGGGGTGGAGTCGCGTGTGTCGGATACAGGATGCTCGCAGAGCTGCACGAGAACTCTTCTGAATTGCTTTGAGGGGATTCGAACTCTCAGTGCGGGCTGGCCTCGGAGCTCTCCTGACTTCGCCCACAGAAAGGTGGCCGAATTTTTAACAGGATTTTTTCCCCCGAAAAATAAAACCATTCTAGTGGCTGCTGGAGAATTTTCTTATTAACATTGTGGAAAATAGAAGAATTAAAAATACAAAAAATAGGGGCTGGGAAGGTGGCTCAGTGGTAGAGCGCTTGCCTTGCATGCATGAGGCCCTGGGTTCGATTCCACAGCACCACATAAGCAAAAAGAAAAAAAAGCCGGAAGTGGCACTGTGGCTCAAGTGGTAGGGCACTAGCCTTGAGCTGAAGAGCTGAGAGACAGCGCCCAGGCCCAGAGTTCTAGCCCCACAATTGACACACACACACACTCTCTCTCTCTCCATATATAGATATATGTATATATCTTTTTATCTATTTGCCTTCCTTGATATGATCTCATCTGTAGTTCCAATTCTTTATGGCTCAAGTTCTGGCATGCCTGGTGGAGCTTCTCCCCAGACCTTTAAAAACAACAACAAAAACCTGAAAACATACTTACATGATCTAGGAAAGTAAATTAAACCAATCCCTGGTCCTACTTTCACTGGAGCACACTTCATTTGCTGATACAAAAAACAACTGAAACCCAAATCCACAGTACAGGAATTTCAGGGCTTCAATTTTCAACTTTTTTTTTTTTTTTTTTGGTTAACTGAAGTCACTATCATTAACATCTCTAGATTTAGCAAGATGCGGGGCGAGGCACTTTCATGGAGCGTAGTAAAAAGCAAACATATATTCTTTTGAATTATTTGTTAACTAGTTCTTTACTTCTCTGGCAGGGGTGGGGGAAAGCACCCTGGACAGAGAAAGTACGTATTGCGATTTTCTCTTCCCTATCCCAAGCTGGGTACAAGAAGGTGCTCAAGGACTCCAGGTCCTGGCCTGGCAGACAAGAGGTCGGTAATGTTTACTGGACACTCTCAGGCTCCACAAGTCAATAGTGAGGTGTCCTGGAGAAATTAGGTACAGATCTAGAGGAAGAGTCCTACCAAGGCATTGTCTGTGGAGCAGCTCGCGATGTTCCTTCTACACCCATGTGATCACAGAAAACAACTGAAACTTGGTAGGTAGGGCGTCCCCTGAAGATGTAGAGCTCCCAGGCCCGAGGGGGCGTGGCGCCAGCACCTTCCGGGCTCCGCCCATTGGACGCGCCTCGAGGGTCCCACGTGCCGGAAGGCCACCGAGCAGCGCATGCCGCCATGTCGCTGCTTCGCCTGCTCGGCGTCCTGTGGCAGCAAGTGAGTGTGGCAGCAAGTGAGTGCGGCGCGCGGGCTGGGCTGGGGCAAGGTGGGGAGTCTTCCCACCAGCAACTGTTGGGCGTCAAGGTTTCCTGGTGCCTGGGCCTGCAGCCATTGGAGAAGAAATAGGGGGCCCGGGGAACAGTCCAGGCGAGGTGGTCACTGTTTTCTTGAGTGTGCCCCAGGTAGATGAAGTTCCGTCTGGAGCCAAGGCAGAGAAGTCCACTGTGCCTTCAAATGCCTCTGGTTTTCATTTCCACATAGCCAAGTATTTCCCGAGTAGCTGAGATTATAGATGTGAGCAAACACACCCCACTCACATGTTATTTTATCTCTCTGAATACCTGAATATATGTATATGTGGGTGTATACACACACACACACACTCACACACACATACATACGTATATATCCTGCAGAGCACTGCTCTCTCATGTCTGTAATCCTAGGTACTCAAGAGGCTGAGATCTGAGGATGGCAGTTCAAAGCCAGCCCAGGGAGGAGAGCCCATGAGATTCTTATCTCCAGTTAACTACCAGAAAACTGGAAGTGGCTCCATGGCCCAAAGTGGTAGAGCTCTAGTCTTGAGCAGAAAATCCTCAAGGACAGCATCCAGGTCCTGAGTTCAAGTCCCATGACTGACCAAAAAAAAAAAAAAAAGCTTTATTTGCATAATACAGACTGCACTCATTTTCAGTCAGCATTGGGCTTAATTGGGGAGGAGGGGGAGCTGGTCCTTGAGCTTTCTTTGTTTTAAGATTAGGATTCTTACCACCTGAGCTACAGCTCTACTTCCTGCTTGTTGCTGGTTAATTAAAGACGAGTCTCACAGAGTTTGCCATCCTCAGATCTCAGACTTCTGAGTTTATAGGATTACAGGTGGTACCCAGCATCGATTTATTTTTAGTAAACTTTTGGATTGTACTGCTACCATGAAAAATTTAGTCCTACAAATTTCTTTTCCTCTCTCCTCCTCTTCTTCCTCCTCCTCTTCCTCCTCAACCTCCTCTTTTTCCTCCTCTTCTTCCTTCCTTCCTTCCTTCCTTCCTCCTCCTCCTTCTTCTTTTTCTTTTTTCTTCTTCTCTGGGTGCTGTCCCTGAGCTTTTGCTCAAGTTGGACGTTTTGGTGGTTAATTGGAGATAAGAGTATTACGGACTTTCCTGCAAGTGCTGGCTTTGAACTTAGATCCTCAGAGTGAAGCCTCTTGAATGGCTAGCATTCCAAGCTGTTTTGCCTGTAATCGTAGCTACTCAGGAGACTAAGATCTGAGGATTGTGGTTCAAAGCCATCCCAGGCAGGAAAGTCTGTGAGACTCTTATCTCCAATAAACCACTAGAGAACTGGAAGTGGCTCAAGTGATAGAGCACTTGCCTTGAGCTGAAGAGTGCAGGGACAGCGCCCAAGCCCAGAGTTCAAGCCCCATGACTGACCAAAAAAAAAAAAAATTAGATTGCTTTTGTCTTACTAAGTTAAAAGAGTTTTCGTATTTTGGATTTAAGTCTGTTTTTTTCCTTTATTTATTTATTTATTTTTGTCCGTCGTGGGGCCTGAACTCTGGGCCTGGGTGCTGTTCCTCAGCTCTTCAGCTCAAGGCCAGCGCTCTACCACTTGAGACACAGTGCCACTTAAGGCTTTTTCTGCTTATATGGTGCTGAGGAATCAAACCTACTGCCTCATGCATGCAAGGCAAGCACTCTACCACTGAGCCACCTTCCCAGTCCTTCTTTTCATTTCTTAACTGGCATATATTAACTGTACAAAATAATGAGCTTCAGTATGACATTTTAATATGCATATTAAATACCTTGATGGTATTCACTTCCCTACTTATCTTCTCGTCCCCCTTCTTTCCCACTGGCCTCTTCCCAAATACTCCTGCTTTCATATAGCTTGTTTTTTATTTTTTGCTAAATTTAGACTCACATGAGAGAAAACATGTATCATTTGTCTCTCTAAGTTTGGCTTATTTCATTTAACCTGTTGATTCATTTTCCTGCAAATAACACAATTGTGTTATTTGAAATTCATTTTCGTTATGGCTGAATAATATTTTTTTTGTATTTTCTTTATCCACTAGTCCACTAATGGCAGCCTGACTTATCACTGGAGTATAGTCCAGGAGGGTGTGTATTTTTTGGTGGTACTAGGGTTTGAACTCAGTCTTGCTCTTGTTGGATAGGTGCTGTACAATTATAACCATACTCCAAACCCTTTATGTTTTTCACACAGGGCCTTGTATTGTTTGCCTGGACTGGCCTAACCTTCAACCCTCCTATTTATGCCTCCTGCATGGCTGAGACGACAGACATGTGATGGAGATTCTATCTCCAAACCACACCCAGAGTGTTTGTCGAGATAGGGGTTCGTCTCGCTAACTTTTTGCCTGGCTAGCTTCAAACCACAATCTTCATGATCTCTGCCTCTCTAGTAGCTGGGTTATAGGCATGAGCCAACACACAGGAGGAGGAGGTTTTTTGACCTGGGGGATAAAAACCTCAATTCATATCCTGGTACCCAGTTTTCTTGAATGTGTCAGAGAAGAATTTTAGTGGACAAAATATTAGGCAAGTAAAGCAAAGTATAACAGCTACTTAGAAACTGCTTTTGCCTAAAGCACCAAATCCTCACTGGGACTGCAAATGCCCAATGGATAATTAGTGGGATAAAAAACTTGGCATTTCTTGAACTCCAGATTCTGTCTTTGCTCTGAGCCATTCTCTTTGCAGCACCAAGGAATCTAATATTAACCAATAATGTTTTTATGATAAGAGTAAAAAACTCCCAAGAAAAAGATCAGCAGAGCCTCACAGGACAGGACAGACATGAGAACAATTATATGTGATAATCATTCTCACAAACTGATCATCTCATGGGAACCATATTGCTCCCATCAAGTAATAAGAGTGTAAACGACCTTTTCGAAACCCCTCACAGAACCAGAACTGAGATAATCAACCATTTGGTCTAAGATTTATGTATTATGAGATTATGTATACATATCACTCTTGCCCCACATCTTTCCCTATTTAAATCTAAACTCATGTCTGTACCTCAAAGATGGGCTGAAATGTATACTTTGCCTTTATCACATGTCTCTGCCACATTAATAAAACTTTCTATCCCTTTCACCAATCCTGGTGGTGGCTGGACCTGGGTCATGGAAGCCTGAAGTTAGGCCTGTGTCCTCTAATTCTGGCTACAATACTTCCAAGTGGAGTGGAATACAGGTATAGAGCTCAGAGCTCTCCTTTTGGAGCTATTTGTATTAGCTAAAGTAGGTTAGAGGGTATAGCTTAAACTTTCCTGCAGATAAATGATTTCTTTGTATAAGAAACTAGGTGATAGGGGCTGGGAAGGTGGCTCAGTGGTAGAGCGCTTGCCTTGCATGCCTGAGGCCCTGGGTTCGCTTCCTCAGCACCACATAAGCAGGGAAAAAAGCCGGAAGCGGCGCTGTGCCTCAAGTGGTAGAGTGCTAGCCTTGAGCTGAAGAGCTGAGGGACAGCGCTCAGGCCCAGAGTTCAGGCCCCATGACCGGACCCAAAAAAAAAAAAAAAAAAGAAGCTAGGTAATATTTAATTATTTTGATGTTACATGTTTAATGTTTTTTCCCAAACATAGAGGTATTGGGTCTGGAGTAATCTTACAAATGATAGGATCTTATAACATGGGTGCCTGTTTCTGTAACTTGTGGACATTCTTTTGATTAGTAGAAGTGTTAGATTAAGCTAGGCAATGGTGGCTCAAACCTATAATCCTAGTTATTCAGGGGCTGAGATCTGAAAGGAGCCAGCTCAGGCAAAAGAGACTTTGAGATTCCATCTCTGAAATAAGTAAAAAAAAGATGGACTAGAGGTGTGAACAAAAAAAGTTCAGCAAAAGCTTGAGGTCCTGAGTTTAAGCCCTGGTAATAGAAACAAACACACACACACACACACACACACACACACACACACACACGCACGCACGCACGCACGCACGCACGCACGCAAGCAAGCTGGTTACAGCCGGAAACCAGTGGCTCAAACCTGAGGATCGAGGTTTAAAGTCAGCCCAAGCAGGAAAGCATGTGAGACTCTGATCTCCAGTTAAGCAACCCCTGTGGCTCCAGTGGTAGAATGCTAGCCTGGAGCATAAGAACTCAGGAACAGCATCCAAGCCCCAAGACTGGCAAAACAAAAACAAAAATGGTACATAGTGTTCATTATGTAAATTATTGTTACTGTAAGTGAATGCTGATCCTGACAGTCACTTGGTAGACCTGGCACCACAGAAAATCCTCATGGCCAAGAAGAAACCCAGGTTTTATAGTTATTGGATGATACCTGACATGGACTTTAAGGCAGCTTATGTGGGCTACCAGCTCCTCTTCACAAGTCAAACACTCCCAACTGATTACAGCTTTGTTTCATGTTGGACCCAGGATCCTTTTTAGAACTAAGTACTTCAGATCGGGAGATGAAACTGTTAGCAATATCTCCTTAAGGCCCAGATATATTGTAGCTATTTAAGCCATTCCTTTAATAGCTCATCCAAACCTATCTTTGTTCCCTTTCAGACTCCACTTGGCCTTCTGAGAAGTAGGACTGGGAAAAAATTGCCTGTGGTGACCCTGAATATGCGCCTTTATTGGGATCAGAAGGAAAAGCGGTTCCAACCCATTGGTCGTTATCCCATTCCCTACAAGAAAGACCTGCCTTTTGACATGGTAGAGCTCATGGAGGAGGTAGAAAAGACGGTGAGATATCACCTGGGAGTAACTGCAGTGGAGTTACTGTGGAGTTACTCTTCAGAGGGAGTTACTGCAGTGAGGTCTGAGTGGAACCACCTTACTGGTAGTGATTTTGTCATTTGTCCAAATCCCCCACTGTGGATGGGTCCCTCCCTACCTGCGGGCCCTACCACAGTACCATACATTTTTCTTCTCAGCTTAGGTACAGTGTCCTGGTTCTAGGATCCTTCTTTGTCACTCAGGCCTCTTCCCACTTGTGACAGAGATGTGTTCTGCAATTCAGGTTAGCACGTATATAACATGGAAAATATGTGCTAACTACTTAAATATGAAATGTATCTTGTTCTTTCCTATAAAAATTAGTAAGAAAATTCCAAAATAATAAAAATCTGATTCTGTTATACAAAGCCAACCACTAATAGCATTTGATTTGTTTTCTTTTTTTTCTATTTTTTTTTTTGTTTTAAATATACAAGCAGATTTTCTTTAATGAGGCCACATTATCTGTTTGTTTCTAGGTCAAAACATTATTTTAGTAGCTCCATGATATAGTATTGTATAACAGAAAGATCATGATTTATTTCAACAATCTCCAAATTCTGTTTCATAAGATTACTTAACAAAAAAATCACCATTGTACACCTACAGAAGTAACACTTAACAATCCCCTAATGGTGAAAATACTGAGGTTCTATCTGACATTCAGCAGACAATATGAGGAGTGCTGAGTTTCTGTGTGTCTATTCTGCTTTTAGTTTTCATTTTTTGTGACCCACTTTTTTGCTTTCCCCACAGATAGGATTTTTACCAAATACATTTAAAGTGCTATCTTACAGACCAGTGGAATTCAGGGCTTTCTTTGCTTATTACAATGCTATCATCAACAAAGAAACAGGTAAATGGATAAACAATACTAAATCTCTCTTGGATGAGATCCAATGTCTGCTTCCATCATTCCTTCCCGTATATCCCAGATCACTAGTGTTAGTAAGAAGCTTAGCTTCTGTGTCATCTCCGGATGCAATTTTTATAGTTATAGAAAAGATAGTTGGCTGGGAATGTGGCACAGTGGTATAGTACTTGCCTTGCATGCATGAGGCCCTGGGTTCGATTCTTCAGCACCACATAAGCAAAAAGAAAAATGCCGGAAGTGGCGCTGTGGCTCAAGTGGTAGAGTACTAGCCTTGAGCTAAAGAGCTGAGGGACAGCGCCCAGGCCCAGAGTTCAGGAACCACGACCATACCTCCCCCCCCCCCCCGAAAAAAATGATAGTTGGGTGCCAGTGGCTCATGCTTGTAATTCTAGCTACAGTAAGATAAAATTCTGGCCAATGGGATGAAAATGGAAGAAATACATGCAACTTTAGTCAATGACCTTAAAGGAAGGGACATATGCCTACCAGTGCCTACCAGTGTTACTAGCAGGATGGGATCTGAGGATGACAGTTTGAAACCAGCCCAGGCAGGAAAGTCTGTGAAAAAGTTGGAAGAAAAGTTGGAAGTAGAGCTGTAGCTCAAGTGGTAGAGCACTAACCTTGAATAAAAAGAAGCTCAGAGATAGTGCTCAGGCCCTGAATATAAGCCCCAGTACCAGCACAAAATACACACACACACACACACACACACACACACACACACACACACACACACACACACACACACACACACACACACACACACACACACACACACACAGAGCTGAAGAGTAAGTGAGATTATATATGTAAAACTCCCAGAACTGTACCAGGTACCAAAGTGGGATGCCTCTCTCTGTGTTTCTCTTGACCCCCAGGTAGTAGATTAGGAATTCTCTTCCTTCTTCTTCCTACTTCCTCCTCCCCCTCCCTTCTTTCTTCTTTTCTTTCTCCTCCCTCCCTCCCTTCCTTTCCTTCCTCCTCTTCCTCCTCCTTCCTTTTTTACAACTATTATCCCTGTACTTGATGGACCTCATAAAATATTCCTTCAGTTTTGTAATTTATTTAACATATCTGAGCAACTACTATATAGGTTCTCCACTGGGGATATAGTGATAAACAAGTCTGAAAAATGTCTGGGCTTTCAACCTACCCTTGAGAGGAGAAAACAGACAGGGAACAACTAAACAAAATAGAACAAGTTGACTTCAGAAAGTATTAAATACCATGAAGAAAATAAAATGGGGTTGTGGGTAGTAAGGGCCTGGAAATGAAAGTATAAGTTCACAAGTAGGTGAGTAGGTAGAACCTGTTGCTAAACATGGCATGTATATAGGTCTCCTTTCCTCTTCCCTCCAGGTAAGCTCAGCAGAGCTGACAAGGAACTTATTATTATAGTGACCAGCCTGGCCAACAATTGCCTATACAGTGTGATAGTCCATAGTGCCAAGCACAGGGTCTTCTCAAAGAACCCAGAGCTTTCTGATCAGGTTAGTGCCTTTCTCCCCTGTGGCAGTTTTAGGACCTCTATGTACCTGAAGGACAAAATCTGTAACACTGTATTATGCAGGGAACTCCTGCTCTTCTCACTGTTGGAGTTCTCTTCTGGACCCTATCACTCTTCCCAACTGTGTTTGTATGTGTATGATGCTTGCGAGTAGCAGGTGACTGAGCCTGAGCTCTAGCCAAACATGGTATTGGTTACTTGATATACATTCTCTTGAATGTTCATAACTCCCTAAGGCAACCCTTATTTGTACCATTTTATACCTGATGTTCAGAGTGGCAGAGTCTGTTTTCAAAGTTTGTCTTCTACGTGTATTGTTTTGGCCACCCACTAATTATTCCTAATGGGCTCTAACCAGCTTGTTAGGTTTTATTCCTTTCTGCTGGCTCTAGACTTTGGCCTGTCTGCTTATCATTTTGGAACATTCGTTTGTATTTAGTTTTTGAGTTATGGCCTCACCTTGCCCAAGGTGACCTACTTTTACATCCTAAGTTAGTAGGATTACAGGTAAGTACCTCCGTGCCTGGTTAAGCTATGTGATCTTGGGGAATTCACTTCAAGTCTTTGAGCTGTAAATAAAATAGGGAGAAAAGTTTAAAAAAATAGGGCTGCCTAAGGTTTTGTAAGAAGTAAGATATTTGCCAGATGCTGGTGGCTCATGCCTGAAATCCTAGCTACTCAAGAGGCTGAGAGCTGAGGATTGTGGTTCAAAGCCAGCCCAGGCAGGAAAGTTCATGAGATTCTTATCTCCAGTTAACCTCCAGAAAACCGGAAGTGGCACTGTAGCTCAAGTGGTAGAGTGCTAACTTTGAGCTGAAGAGCTGAGGGACAATGCCCAGGCTCAGTGTTCAAGCCATACAAGCAACAAAAAAAAAAAAAAAAAAGGAAGAAGTAAGACATTGAATATGAAACACTGACCATATTCTTAGCATATAGTAATAGCTAAATGTAAGCTAAGCTCTCAATTTTGCAAATATTGTCTTGTTTGGGATAAATTAGGGGCAAAAGCGTAGTCTTGGAACTCTACTTTTCTCATATGAAATATCTATGATTTGGTTCTGAGATTTTTGAAGTATGCATGTTTAAAGGAAAAGAATTTACTTTTATTCCGCCTGCTCCCAGTTTTTATGAGACATAGTCTTGGAACTATCATCTCAGTTTCTTGGGAGGTCAATATCCAAAGACTGAGATTCAAGGCCAAAAAGTTAATAAGACCCCCATTTTAATCAATAAGCCTGAGGTATGTAGTGGTATTTCATCTGTAATCATAGCTATGTGGGAGACTGTAGGTAGGAAGATTACAGACTGAGGCCAGTCTTGGGAAAAATCTTGAGACCTCATCTGGAAAGTAACAAAAACAAAAAAAAGCATTAGAGGTGTGGTTCAAATGGTAGAGCTCCTACCTAGCAAGCATGAAGTTCTGAGTTCAAGGCCTAGTGTCATCAGGATGAGGAGGAAGAAGAGGAGAAAGAAGAAGAGAGAGAAAGAGTGAAAATCTCTGTTGTTCAAGATGGCTTCCAACTCCTGGACTCTAAGAAATCCTTCTGCCTCAGCTATGCAAAAGAAAACAAAAACAACCAAACAGAAAATTTGGTAGAGGTGGTACTGAGCTAGATGTCCAGGTTTATATGGACTTGAATGAATTATCCTTCTTAGAAGTTTGTTTTGATCTGAATTTTCTCCCTTTATTCTAACCTTGAATATTTTCAATAATGCCAATTTTATTAGGTCTTGTGTTTTTGTTGTCTGAAATACATAATAGAGATTCAAATGCTGATAATGTACTTTCTTTCAGGTATGTGTCAATTGGAGAAAGTCCAACCTCCCTGCTCGGGAAAAAGCAATGCTAGAGTTTGCACTTGCTGTTTCCCAAGGTGATGACATAACAGATGACCATTTCACAAAGCTGGAGGCGCATGGCTTCAATCGAGAAGATGCCTGGGACATAGCTTCCATTTCAGCTTTTTATGCCATGGTCAACCGCTTTGTTAATTTTGTCAATCTCATTCCCAACAAAGAATTCTATTCGATGGGAAGAACCAACAATTCTAATAGCATGCTCAGTGATCTCACTGGCCCCTGACAGGAGCAGTAACAGGAAAGGCCAGTGTTTATTATTTCAGTCATGTAACATACCAGTTGGTATATTACAAATCTAGGCATTTTTTTTTAATCTAGGCATTGGATGGAAAAGAAAGTAAATAAATAATTTTGTTCCCTGCTCGCCTAATGAGATAGATTCTAAGTGCTATCGGTATCTGGGGGAGATTGTTACTTGGACCTGGGGGACATATTTCAGAAAAATCCTAATTTACTTGTGTTGTGATCTAACAGGAACATCAGGGGCAAAGGAATTAAGAGGATGCATTAAATATTTTTGAAGAACTGATGATAGCTAACATACCAACTATTACGGTTGAAAATTTTTTAGTTTTCCAAAGTGGTATTACACAGAAATCAATCTGTACATAATGATTTGAAATGAATTCCTTATAAGCAGAGTTAACATGGTTAACAGAGTTAAAGGCTCTCAAAGGTAGGAGCAGCAGCAGGCTCAGTTACAGTTTAGTTTTAGTACCTTTCAATTAACCTGAGATGTTTTTCCTACTGATGTACTTTAGCAGTCCTTATATCAACGGGGTTTTTTTGTTTGTTTGTTTGTTTTTTTGATTGTGGGTCTTGAATTCTGGGCCTGAACACTGTCCCTCAGCTCTTCAGCTCAAGGCTAGCGCTCTAGCATGTGAGCCACAGTGCCACTTCCAGTTTTCTGTGTGGTTTATTGAAGATAAGAGTCTCATGGTCTTTACACCCGGGCTGGCTTTGAACCTCGATCCTCAGATCTTAGCCTCCTGAGTAGCTAGGATTACAGGCGTGAGCCACTGGCGCTTGGCTGTATTTTTTTTCTCTTTCATCTCAGCAATTCACAATTTATTCCTGCACCATCAGCTAAAAATCTGGCAAACAAGCACACAGAGCAGGCAGACTGCCCCCCCCCCCCCATTTATACCTAACCTGCAGGCCCTGCTTCTTTATTTAGATTGATTGAGCTCAGGTTCATAATCTGCTTGTGATTGGCTTTTTCAGAATAAGGTAAAATGTATTTACACAAGGTGACTTTGAAATAAGATTGACAGTGTACAAGTAATCTCAAAATATACCCATACTCTCTATATCATGTATTCTTATTTTCAGTTTTAGTAAAAACTATTTGGAGTACTCACACTGTATATAGTAACAATTTAAAAAACTGGCAGTTTTAAAAATTATCTGTGTTGAATTGCTGCCTTAAGTTTGTAGATGGCATTTCAAGAATCATCCTCATTAACTAACAGTTACATGCAAATCTACAAAATATTTTTGCTCCTAGATTCTGAGTTGTCAGTGAACAGTTTTGATCAGCTTTGAGGTTATGGTATATTAATTCTGAATCCGTTGAACTTGAAATCTGGTTATCTTGTTCCTTGCAGAACACATGTTATTCTATTGGAATTAAACTTAAAATATCTTGGAATACATAATCTATCAAAGCTGAACATTGAGCCAGCACCGGTGGCTAATGCCTATAATCCTAGCCAATAAGTGTAAGGTCCATTCCTGGATGGCGAGCAGACCCCACCCAGTACCTGCGTTACCTAGGCAATTGGGACACCTGGAAGAGGTCACATCTGCATCCCATGAGGTCACATCTGAATCTGATGTGGCCACACCTTTCTCCCACCTGGTCCCACCTCTTACCTGGTCCCACTTCCCTTTACCTGGACACACCTTTCCCCGCCCCTACTCTATATAAGGCATAACCCAGGGCCAGACGTTCTCTTTTGCCAGCCGAGTGGAGTGCCAACCTTGCCTGGTCCCAGCAGGTCTACTAAATAAACCTACCCCTTACCTGAATACCACGTGCGAGGTGCTGTTCTTACTCGGCTACCTCTTTTTAAAATCCTAACACTTAGGAGGCTGAGAGGATCTTCATTCAAAGCCAGCCAGGGCATAAAGACTGTAGGACTCTTACCTCCAATAAACCACTCAGAAAACTGGAAGTGGTGCTGAGCATCAAGTGGTAGAGCACTATCCTTGAGTTGAAGAGCTGAGGGACAGCGCCCAGTCTGAGTTCAAGCCCCACAACTGAGAAAAAAAAAAGTTGAGAATTGTTACTAAAAAGATAATCATCTGGGTGCTGGTGGCTCATGCCTGTAATCCCAGCTATTCAGGAGACTGAGATCTGAGGCTGTTGGTTCAAAGCCATCTCAGACAGGAAAGTCCATGAGAAGCCTATCTACAATAAACTACAAAAACAGCTGGAAGATATGGCTCAGGTGGTAGAACACTAACTTTGAGCCAAAAAAGAAGCTCAAGAACAGCGCTGAGTTCTTGAGTTCAAGGCCAAGGGCCAAAGCTGAGTAACTCACACTTGTAATCTTAACTACTCAGGAGGCTGAGATACAGAGGGGCTCAGTTTGAGGCTAGTCTGAGCAGGAAAGTTCACTAGCCTCCATCTCCAAACCAGTAAAAGCAGAGCTGGAAGTGTGACTCATGCGGTAAAACACCAACCTAGCAATTGTGAATTCAAACTCTGGTACTGAAAAAAAAAATCACATTGGCAAATGTATCATGGTCAAGGTTTTGCAGGTCATTAAATTTTGACTATAATTTGGGGATGGCAGTAGCAAAGGGCCTCTACTACTTGTTGCAACTAGAAGTTGTGGGCCATAGGCACATTATTTGTTAATCATGAAACATGATGTTAATCATCTTCTGCTTTGTAGGGTTAATGTAGGAAATATATCAGCTGTCTTGATCTTTAGATAGACATTTACTTCTTATCCTTAGATCATGGACAGGAAAAACTGAGCAACTCCTCATAGAATGACTAGCTAAATTCATTCCTTTCCTCCAGAAATCTTTCCAGTCTATCCTCACAGGCTAGACCTTCCAGATTATCGCCAGCTGTGAGCTACAACACTGCTTTTGTTCAAGGCCTAGAAAAAATTTGTTCTTTCTATGCTCCCCAAGCTCTCATTTATCAAGGACTCTGATTCCCTCCCCAAAGAAACCCTTAATCCCTGCTAGGGCTTTTCTGCAGACAAGTTATATGTGGTCATCTTCGGCAGCTATGGTCATGTGTCACATTTGTCTTAGTCTCTATGACTGTCAGATGCAGTAGAAGCAGGACACTGTGGGATGCCTCCTGAGAAGTTAATTGGATTCAGGCCTCCAGCTCTCCAGTTACTTCAACATTGGTATAAATGTTTCTACCTACCTGGAGAAAGCTTCTGGCCTTGATAAAAACCTCCTGGGAGTGGGGTAGATATTCAGAGCACCAATAGGCCCCCTCTAGGCATTTTCTTTTGCCAGCGCTGTGAATGGAAGTTAGGTTTTTGCACTCTAGCCATTTGGGTTATACCCCCAGCCCAGGACCTCGGTTTCTAGCTGCATAAGTTCTTGGCATATGTCCTTGGATTCCTAGAGGGAGCAGGCCTTAAGTCATGCCACTTTACTATCTATTCGGCACCTGCACGATGGGGACGACAGTACGTGTTCCTACCCAGCCACAACGGGGGCAGTGGCCCGCCGCCCCCTGACGGCCACCGACCGACTCTCAGTCGCACGCCGGGCCCAGTGCGGTCCCGGCTTCCTCTGTCCCCCTCAGGTCACAGCTTCACTGCTCGGGACTGGGATCCTCCGAGGCGGCGGAACCCGGAACCTGCTGGTGATTCCTCTGTCCTGGTCCCCGGAAGAGGGCAGCAGAGCGCAAGCGCAGGTTTCCTAGCCGACCCGCTTAGGACGCCGCACCCGGAAGTGGCGCTGGAGAGGGAGCACCGAGGTGTAGGCCAGCGGGACGGCGTCCTGAGCTGGGGGTGGGGGTGTCGGTCATGTTTCCCTTCTGGCCCCGCAGCCCGGGAGGAGAGCGGGCGGCCGGGGCGGAGGAGCCGGAGCCTCCCGCGGGGCAGGCGACAGCCTCCAGGCTGCCCTCTCCGGCTCCCCTGCCGGCGCCTCCACAGCCGGGCGCTGATGCGGTTCCTCAGCCGGCCGCCTGGAGCTCTCGCCTCCCGGGCACCCCGGCCGCGCGCGCCACCGAGCTGGCATCGCCCGGAGCTCGCGAGTCGTCGGCTGCCTGCGCCCAAGAAGAGCCGTCGCCGCCCTCCTCGCCGCGCCTGCGGCCCGGGCCGGACTGCGGGGCGGCGAGCCGGGGCCGGCAGGGCCCGAGCGCGGGCCTGAGCGGCCCGGGCGCCAGGTTGTTCGGGTGGCTGAGAGAACGAAGCCTGGGCCGGGGGCTGTTTGTGGACCCGGCGCGGGACAATTTCCGCACGATGACCAACCTGTATGGTTCCATTCACCCGGCGGACTCGGTGTACCTCAGCACCCGCACCCACGGGGCGGTCTTCAATCTCGAATACTCGCCCGACGGGTAAGCGCGGCCCCTCGGAGGGCGGGACCGCCTCCCCGGCTCTGCCCCGGGGCCCGGGCACAGGTATCGGTGCCCGGGGCTCGCTCTGCTCGACTTGCTCGGGCTGAGGTTCTGCCAGTCCACGGGCGGCCTCCAGCCACCAGGCCTTGGTTCTTTCGGAAGCGCGCGTTCGCTGTGGAGCCCCTGTGACCTTTTGAAAGGAGTTAGGCAGGCTTGAGTTACTCCCCTTGCCTTCAGATCCAATCAATAGCTAAGGTTTTTTGGCACACAGTAGGCGCTCGATAAACACATTTAAGATGAGTTTTTTTTTTCTTTCCTCAGTCATCCTACGCTTGCATTTCTTTCATCTAAGCTGGTAAGAGTAGAGAATGCCTGCAGAATCTCTGCCCTTGCCGGAATCTGTCGGGAAGTGACAAGTGTGCATTCATCTGCTCGAGATAGATGCTAAAATAGACCCTAAAATAGAAGGACGTTTGTTATGATTTAGGCCATTATAAAGTTTCCAGGCTAGACTATTTGCATCTGTTAAGAACATCAGCTTTTTTTCTTAGCTGATTAGGTACTTGATGTTTGGTCTCGATATACTTTGGAGAATTTGAAGCATGATGTCTTGAAGCCGGGCCGCGGTGGCTCACGCCTGTAATCCTAGCTACTGAGGAAGCTGAGATCTGAGGATTGCAATTCAAAGCGAGTCTGGTCAGGAAAGCCCAGGAGACT